CCCGACCACCACGACTGGCCGACCGAAGAGCACCACAGCCGGTTGGCGAAGCCACGCGATCGCATCGGGCCAGGCCAAACCAGAGCCGTCGCACGGGAGAGCAGCGGCAACTGGGGGTGGGGGAGCCCACATTGCCCAGCGTGCCGGAGAAGAGGTTGCTGGGAAGGCCGCTTGCGCCGCCGGGGATCGGATCTCGGGGTGGGTTGGGGTGAGGTGTGGGCAGGGAGGAGTTGGAGAAGGAAAAAAACAGCCCCGCCGCTGGGCCTGGCGCGACTTCGTCGGCCAACCCTCCGGCGGCGGCAACGTCGGGGTGGTCGGAGGTCGGAGTGCGGGACGGCGGCTAAGGTATCCCCCGTGTCGCCCGGCTCGGGCGACGAGAGGGTGGGCGCCCTTCTATGTGACAACTTCCTATGGTCAAATTTGTTTTTCGTAGCCAACTATAATATCACAAAACGTCATATATTTAGTTACAGAATGGAGTACTGACATGCATGAACATGACATAAACATAAATAATGCATTTTCTGAAATAAATATTATACATAGTTTTCGAGTGTGAGGTTTATTTGTTATGATTTTTTAATTTTAGAGATTCCCAATTTACATTAGCTGAACGCCACGCTTTTCAAATATTGTGACTACGGTGACTTCGTAAATTTCAAGATGATATACCGGCTCAGTCTATTGGAGGTGCTCATAGGGATAGTGTGTGCGTTCATAGGGGTGAGTGTATGCGCCTGTATATGAGCGCTTGTGTTTATACTGATGTTCAAAAAAAAAATATTGTGAAGTTGCTTCGATTTGCGCAGATTTTGTCTCCTCTACCTTTTTCACCGGAGGCTTGGAGAGAAGTCGGGTGACGTGGTCGGGACAAAAAAAGATGTTAGAAATCACGTATTTGCATTAAATTCAGTTTTGCTAATGCTCATCTAAATGTGTCACCCATAAGTATTATGCATTTAAGTCCTATGTCGTTGATTTTCACGGAGATTCGTGTGGGTAAATTTCTTTATTTTTATGTTTGATTGGGTCATTTATATGTGCAATAACTTATTAAATTCGTTGATATAGAGAAAAAATAGCAGCTTTGTTAAAGTACATCTAGATGTATTAGAAATATTGCACATCTAAGTCCTATATAATTGATTTTACGCGAAAATTCATTTGGATATTTTTTTCCTTTTCCTTTATACTTAGATGTGCAATAACTCAGGCACATGTAGATGTACAATAACTAAAACACATCTAGACCCCATATCATTGATTTTACGCTAAAATTCATGCAAGCATTTTCTATTTTTATTTCTAATTTGATTGAGTTGTTTAGAATTTTTTAGGGGGTAGATTGAGTTGTTTAGATGTGCAATAATTAGAAATAACTAGGCTGCATCTAACATGTGCCCTGAACAGATTTGGTCTTGCGTTTGTACTGTGTTAAAAGAAAAAGAAAACCGCGTGTGCTAGATAACGCCGTCGTCGACTTTGGGAACCTTGGGGTTGGGTGGCGCTTGTGGGTGGTGGGCGACGGCGGTGGTGCGGCCCTATCCTAGCATGGATTTACGTCCGTTGCTTGAAGATGGACTCACGTAGGTGGAGGTCGTCGGCAGGCGTCGTGGTGGCGTCAATGGCGGGGGACCTGCCAAGGCTCGCGTAGGTGGAGGTCGTCGTTTGGCGTCGTGGTGGCGTCGATGGCGGAGGACCTGTCAAGGTTGTCACCTCAATCTGCTCTGAAGATAGACCAGTAGAAGACGTCGGCGACGATACATGTGAGTGTGTCGGACTGGTTTGAGCCCCGGACCTGGCAGATGGCTCGGTCGGGGCCTCCGACTTTAGATGTTAGGCTTAGGTGAGAGGTCTGGGTATGTGGCCCATCTTGCACCACCTTCATCATTTGGATAGGAGTTGCCGCAGATGTTGCCAACATGGCGGATTCAGACATATTGTTGTTCTATTTTATAAGGTCCTCAAGAATAATTAATAAAATGGCCGCATGCATCTCGGCCGGGGGTCATTCTCCTTTTTTTTTAAAAATAACGTCGTCTCCAAAAAGAGGAAATCGCGTGTGTTTTAATTTGTTCAATTTGATGCAACGTGCTTAATTAATAAATTCGTTTATACATAGGGGGAAAAAAGGCCGAGGGGTAATGTGCACTTCTGTCGGGAGAAAACAAGAAAACGGACAGGGTGGGAGGAAATCTCCTGCCGGACGGAAGAGGGTGTGAAAGTGTGATGGCCTCCCCGTACAATCCCCACCGGCGGCAGCTGGGCGGGGGGCAGTCCGCCTGGCCGGATCTCCCACCGGAGCTCCTGGAGAGCATCCTAGGGCGGCTCGCCCCGCTCGACCGTGTCGCCGTCCGCCTCGTCTGCTCCTCGTGGCGCTCGTGCGCGCGAGCTTCGATCTTGGCTGACCTCCCCTTCGAGGCCCCGCGCCTCCTGCTCCGGCGCCCCGGCTCCTGCGGCAGCCTCGCCTTCTTCAGCCTCCACCGCCGGGAGATCCTGCGTTTCGCCCTCCCCGACCGCCTCAGCTCCGGCCGGTGCTGCGGCCAGATCGGCGGCTGGCTCGCGATGGCCTTCGACGAGGAGCGGGCGATCGAGCTCCGCAACCTCTTCTCCGGCCAATCCGTGTCCATGCCACGGTCCCCCGTGTCCCCGGTGGCCAAGATCGTGCTGTCCGCGCCGCCCACCTCGCTCGGCTGGGTGGCCGCCGTGCTGGGCCGCGCGGGCACGGTGGCGCTGCTCCAGCCGGACGTGTCCGGCGGCGCCTGGACCACGATCGCCGCGGGGGGGCCGCACGGAGGGTTCCGGGACGTGGCGTTCTGGCGGGGGCGGCTGTGCGTGCTGGGCGACGACGGCACGGTCCTGGCGTACCGGGTGGACCTCCGCGCGCGCGTGGCGGCCGTGTCGGAGCTGCGCGGGAAGGACGCCAACTCTCCGAACCGGCTGGAGCGGCGGGTGCGGTACCTGCTGGAGTCCGGCGGGGAGCTCCTGCTGGTGAAGAAGCTGTACAGCGTGGTGCGGGACTCGGCGGACGTGGAGGTGGAGGTGAGCCGGTTCCGGCCGGAGGGGTGCAAGTGGGAGCCGGTGACGGAGCTCCCCGGGAGGGCGGTGTTCCTGGGGTCGGTGGCGTCGGCGGCGGCGCCGGCGACGGCGGGGGTCCGGGAGAACTGCGTCTACTTCGCGCGGCGGGACGTGGAGCTGATGGTGCCGCACGCCATCGGCGTGTACTCGCTGGGGGACCGGGAGACGGCGGTGGTGGCCATCGCGGGCGGGCACTCCGTGGAGGTGGAGCCCGTGTGGATCCTCCCCTCGGTCGCCTGATCCGACTGACCCCACGCACCCACCGGCGTGCAAGAATAAATAAACCGAGCCCACGCCTTATTCGGATGTTAGAACTGTGGATTGCTGTGCGTGTTGTTTTCTCTGCTTTGTTCATGGGATTAATTGGTGATTTGGGTTTCTAGGCAAAGACCGCTCTGTCTGAATTGCTGTGCATGTTCTTCTCTTTGCCGTGTTCAGTTCATCAGAAGTTCAGAAAGTGCCGGTATCTGCGGTTCATGAGATTTTACCTGGGGTTTTCTAGGGCAGATGCAGTGCGGTCCGGCTTATGCAGTACGCAGGCAAAACAGAAATCAAACATCAGATTTTTTTAGCATGGCAAATCGAACTTCTGAGATGGCAAATTATGTTGTCGCTAGGATGGCAATTTCTTTTAACAAGTATGACAAATCCGCCATGTTCAGTTTTTTGTTAGGAATTGTCATGCTTAAGACAACGTAATTTGCCATAAAAAACGTTTGACTTGCCATGCTTATAAATCTCAAGTGAGATTTTTAGCATTTCCCAGAAAGAAAGGCGACGACAGCCGGCTCCGGCGATGGCCGTTGTCAGATGAAAGCCTCCACTGGCGCGAAGTGCTACCTTTTGCTCACGGTCCACGCGCGCGTCGCACCAGCAGGAAAGCGATAAGCTGTGTCCGCATCCGCCGCGTGCCGATGCAGACTGCCGCTTCCACTTCCACTTGCACGGGCTGAACTGAAGAAGGCAGCACGCCATCCAGAGTTTCCTTCTCGCTCGTCTCTCTCGTCCCAAATCCGCGGTGACCACGTTCGCCTTTCAGCCGAGAAAGTTCGCACTGATAGCACCATCAATCCAAATGCCAGGAAATGTAGTAGCCCGGCACATGATTTCCTCGCGACCACATGCAACCAAATCCGTTTTGGCTCCTGGTAATAAGGCTGGTGTGCAACGCTAGGGCACAGCCAGAACAGGCATCACCAACTACAATAGAAAATGCCAGAACACAACACAGATATGACAATGCCAGAGCACAACACAGATATGACAGAAGTTAGACAATATCAGTACGCGATAAAAGCAGACACAACACAAAAAGAATTTAAAAAGACGCAACAAATCTTTCAGTCACAAACAGCCCAACAATAACATTAACAAATTCTTTTAGTCCCAAACAAGTTGAGGAACAAAATAGTTTCAGAATAAGAACGGGCATACCACCATAATCAGATTATGTACTACTCCGCATACCACCATAAGCAGATTATGTACTACTCCCTCCGTCCCAAATGTAATGGTATCAAAAAACGTCTTACATTCTGGGACGGAGGGAGTAGATGAACAAGGTGTTGTAGTACATCCAAGGGCAACCAGATGAATTATCTAGTTGCCTTTGAATATTTTTCTTCACATTTAATTCCCTCCAACATCATATATCAGCAGTTGAAGAAGTCGGAAAGTTTGATATAGTCAATTACGTGGTCCAAAGCACAAGATGCCCTTTACAACAGTAGACCAACATATATAATTTTCGACTAATTTTACAGCCTTATGTCTCTTGCTCATGTGAAGGCCAGGTTCTCAACAGAACAATCCAAAAGGGCTCCATAGGGGGGACAGAGTATATTCAAGCATGTATACGTTCCGCCGGTACAACGGGGAAAATTTCAACATTTCAAATGTTACTACATTGCTCACTCCAGGGGCTAATCTATGGCAATTATGAGGAACCCCACCGAGATGTACATGAGGAATACAGGATAGATGGCCAGAGCCTTTCTCCTTGGGTTCACAGCAGCGCTCATGAATGGGTAGGCAGCCCAGGAGCTCCACGCCAGTGTGACTGTCACGACGATGATCTTTAGTATGACATTGTCCTTCAGCAAGCAAATTAGGGCTCCAACATCCAGAGGAAACAAACAATAGCCAAGGAGACTGAGGCTTTGGAAGAAGATGATGTGCCCACCCTGCAGGGAGACAGCAACAAATCATTCCAAAATTCACAGTAGGTATAGTTTGGATCAAGCAAACGACGTGCTTTGTGTGTGAGAGACAGCGCTTACCAGAAGCAGAACATTTAGTGTTAAGATTATAGCCCCAGCTGCCAGCACAGCGAACGCAACAGCAAATACTTCAGACTACAAACACAACAACATAGAAATCAGCATTTTGCACGGAAGGAAACAAAGAAAAAGTTGTAAACTACAAAGAGAGAGGACAAGTATATTGGCCACTGGAAGAAAATAACATAACAATGTAATATGCCAACATAGAGAAATCAAAATCAGAAAATGTTCAAAAGTGAATATTCCATATGTCTGTAGCTATAATGTTCAATGTAACAGAGAAACATATGAATAAATAACTGAAACGCCATGATTTCTTCCGTATAATGTAATCACCATACCCACAACATTCGATGACATGCCTTGCATAGTTACATTTGAACATGGTAAAGACAGCAGAGAAAGATAATTGTGTTTTGGCATACTTTTGCCCATTCAGGAAAATCCACCTAAACCCAGCTACTCGCAAATGCAATTACATTTCTTTCAAGCAAAAACAGCACAGCACTCTTCTGAAAGAGAAAATATTGACAAAAAATTTGATTTCTCCTAGGTGTCAATGCCATCAAAATTTACTGCAAATTCAAGAACAGATTATGCACTTAGCTATACAGAATTAGCACGGTCTTTCTGATTATTAGCAATTGAGATCATATTTTGCACAAGGGCACTTTTAGTAATTTGTTTTGTCACTAATCAGTACTCCATAACACAGTCACTCTCCAGGTTCCAAAAGAAATCCAGTAAGGCTACACCACATTGTTGCACAGTAAGAACCAATCTTAGAAGCATTCGGATTCGCATAGACATCCACAGGTTCTAAGAGAACATGATTTTTTAGGCGCAGATATCAAGTATTGCTATACCATATTCTGTAATAAAATAACTAGTATTGCTACCTAGTTTGTCGAAATGGCACCTACAAACCTTGCAGCTCAGGACAAGTCCACAACTGGTCCATTAGATAATTCTAGAACATCAAAAATGGACCAATGGTTGTGAGAATAAATATGAAATTATGTCAGCTCATCACTCACCACTAGTACACATGGACATGAAGTTTCAGCATTGTGATGCCTCCAAACCAATTTTGAACCAAGAACATAGTGCATTCTCTAATATCGAACACAAGACATACCTAAATAATGAGCTAAAATAGGCACAGAAAACCCACAGCAGAATAAGCGCATGTTTTCACACCTCGTCTATATTTAGTCATAGAAATAACATAATGGAATTAATTGGATACAACACTATGATTGATGGTTCTAATCCCATCCCCGCAGACCTAGTATACAGTCGTACAACACCAGATTCAGTTATCCCCTAGGCAACATCGAGCTTGCAAGGGAATAGTAACTGTGACGCTTGCCTCCAAGTACTAACCATGAATCGCGACATACAATTCAATAATGTATAATCTGATCTAGGAGTACCTTATAGAGATATCATGAAGTCGAGCACTAAATACGCAAGAGCTAAATCTCGCGAATCGACGCATAAGCTACCACGAGATCTGGTCGCGGAAGGGATGCCAGGTACCTTCTTAACAGAGGCGGACCAGGAGAGTGTGAGGCCGAGGAAGACGATGAAGAAGAAGGGGCCCCAGAGGTCCCAGTCCCTGAGCGCCTTGCCGGGGTCCTCGCGGTTGGGGTTGGGGAAGACGACGAGCTTGAGGTTGCTGACGATGCGGGCGAGGTCGCGCTTGACGGTGTCCCAGACGGGCTCGGTGAGCGTGTTGGGCGGGGGCCCGAAGCCGTCGGAGGCGATGGCGACGGAGACGGACGCGGGCGGGGCGGGGGTGGGCCCCTGGGGCACGAAGATGGGGACGGAGGAGGCGGGGAGGGGCGGCTTGGAGGACGGCGGCGGAGGCGAGGTG